CACAGATGTGCTCAGACTTAACGGGAAGCAGTGATTTTACTATACAGTAATTGTGCTCTCCTCTTCTGCTTTGTAACCCGCTCAGCTGGAGGCTCTTGACCTCCTGACTCCAAATCAGATGGTAGAGTTGCTGCTGTTGACTCTCCCAACTCCACCAGTGAAAGACGTTGTCATCAGCCAAGTGTTTAACTTCCTGACGGAGTCACCTGCAGCCAGGAAGTACCCAGAGGTCCTCAGCGCTTTGGTCAGGCTCGCTGGAGAGGTAACAGCTTTGGCTGAGATGTGCACACAGCAAAATCTCCAGTGTTAAATTAACACTAGAGAGTGTACTGGAATATTTCTAACATTTTGAGTTATTTTCCAGTGTTAGAACATCAGCACTGCTCAGTGTTTGTCATTGTTAATCTTCAAAACTGACTATGTTACTTTTAAAAATATAACACTGTCAAAAGTGTTAATTTAACACTCAACAGTGTTATATTTAACACCCAGAGGAGTGGACCCATATAGACACTCTCTAGTGTTAATTTAACACTGGAGATGTTGCTGTGTAGGTGTTGAGCATGCTTTAGCCTTTCTCAAATATTAATCATAAAATATGCAATTTTTCAGATCAATCCTTCCTGCGACATCTACAAACAAATGTGAGTAACTTTAACCTGTTTTCTGACTAAATGTGCCTCACAATTCTTTCCAAACAGTTTTGTTCTTTGTATGAATCAGGAGAACTCTCTCACTGCAGACTATACCTGCAACCATGTTCAAGCTAAGGCGTCGCAGCAATGCATTAATGGCTAAAACTGAACCACTGCTATTGCTATTATTAATTCAGAAAAAATCAGAAAGAGAAAGAAATGAGATTACAATATACATTGTGGCATTAATATAGCTTATTAACTGGATTAATACAGGATAATGTAGAAAATTAATTACATGACAGGTAGTCATTTTTAATGCAGATTTAATTTCAGCTTTCAATAGTGGACATCACAAAAAACTGAGGGAAAAAAACTGCTGCCAACTTCACAAGGTGACCCAGTTAGTTAGCATCTAGCAGCTTACCTCGTAACTTTATAAGAAGTTTGTAATTTAAACAGGTGAAAACAAACACCAAAGTTTAAAAAAACAAACAAACCCACAACCAATTTTTAGGGCACATTTTATAAAAATTTATTCGTGTTGTAGGCAGACAGCTGAAGGTCTGATTGGCTCTGTTGGTAGCTCTATATACTCTTTATTTACGTATGTGTTTTTGTTTTGTGTTCTTTTGTATTCCAACTTTACACACCTCTATGCAGCCATACCAACTCTGCCTCCAGAAATGGAACCAGTCACCTGGGCCACTATAGAAGCCCTGATAAACATTGCACCTGTCGGTACGTTTCACTGCCTCACAAACACAAAGTCAAAACGACTGAGTGCACAATGTTATGGCTTAAGCTAGTCCATGTAAGTAGACCTAAACCTGTGCTTTTGCTGACTGAATATTTTTGATTTTCTGATTTGGACAGAGTGCGTGCCGAACCTCAGGGTGAGATTTTTTCTTCTATACAATTTAGTTTAAATCCCAACAAATCACAACAACTGTTGTCTTTTCTGCCCATATCACATCTTAATTTGAATGCTTTTAAGCTGTGGTTGTCACAACGTTTTGAATAATATTTCAATCATTGTTTTAATTTGTTAATCCCGTCTTTTACAGTGCCCTGCAAACCCGCTCAATGGTAAGACTTTTTTTGACTGTTGCCAGCGTAAACGCTAATACATTCTGTTTGTATGATTTCTGAAAAAAAAAAATTTTCTGTTTTTTGACAGAAACTCAGAGCTGTGCCGGAGTCAACAGGTAACCCTTTTAATAGGATTTACATAGTAAGCAATGCTACTGCAGTTGTTTTGTATTCTGACGTGTATTTCCTGTCTTGTGTGACCCAAAGCTCTGATCTGCTGTCTTACTTGGACACCTTTAATCAAGTTCCCTGCAACGTCCCCTTGGAGGAATATGCCTGTGCACAGGTAATGATTCACTTTAACAGAGCCGGTGAGGACTCATTACTGTTTATTGCAGAGAATAACTACACGTCCTCTGTCTCTTTCACACATCCAGCTGGACAACTTCACAGCCAATCAACTGGCATCTCTTCTGATGTGTAATCTTCCTGGGAACAGCACCCACTCCAAAACTCTGTGGAAAATCCTGCTCACTAAAGTCTCCAACGTTTTAAACCCAGCCCTGGACATCCTGGCTAACATGGTTAATGACTTTAATAAGCTTTAACAAACAAATAAGGATTCATGAAATGAATCATTCAAACACTAAGTTACAAGAATTGTGACGTAGGGAAAAGTTAATCCGCCTTTAAAATAACTCAATTATCTCTTGTTTAGCCGATGCCCATGATTCCATCAGCGTCACAGGTTTTGGATGTGATTGGAGAGATCAGAGTGTCGCTGCTGACAGATGAGCAGCTGCAGAACAGCGAAGTTATGAGGTTGTGGTTCTCAGGCCGCCTGAGGAGCTTCTTGCCTTACGCATCAGGAATGTTTCTGCGCTGTCTGAGCAGCACAAACCTGACCTGTCAGTCATACCAGGAAATGTGAGTATTTGTCAGAATTGCTGCTGAACAAGCCCAACAGCATGCCTCCAGTGTGGTTCACAGTTCATGTTTTGAGTTCCAAGATTCATCTGTGAAGATGAACCCTTCAGAGGATTTCTGCAATTAATATTTCTAAAGTTGATCTGAACTTCATTCAGGTCTAGAATATTTCGTGTCGTATCCATTAATAAAAAAAAAAACTGTCAGCGAATGGAGTGTGGAGTTGTTAAAGAAAGACGCAAAGGTAGGCAGGGTAGAAGTGAAAACAAGATTTGTTTTTTTCGCTGAGTAACCTCGGCCCTATTCCAGGAAGCAGGTTTACACAACAACTCTGTGTTTATTAACCATGAGATGAAAGAAACTCTGTTTTTGTTGTTGTTGCATAAACAAAGTTATGCTCAACTCTCATTTTCTCTCCTCCACTCCTGCTGCACCTCAGCCAGCTGACTGACACTCATTTTCATTTCCTCATTCATAAAATTTATATCATAGGGCATGGCAGAGAGAATTAATCTGCAAAAGTTCACAGTTTTACTTACAATGAAATCCCAGTTAGCTGTTAGTTTGCTATTTTTCATATTTAAGATGAGTAATTACATTTTTTTTAAAAAACAGTCGTAAATGTAAGGAAGCGATAATAATAATTCATTATCAGATCAGATAAAATGGCTGATGAGGCGTAAGATGAAAACAGTCTGGAAAATCACAAACAAGTCAGTAAAGCTGGCACATGTCATGAAAGAAAACCAACCTTCGCAGTAACATCAAGAACAAAAAGACAAGTAGGACAGGAAGTGTAGAAGGCACGCAGATGAGACTAAATCAAGAGTCGAAATACAACAATATAGTAAAAACTAAAATATATTAAACAGAAAGCCAAAAAAACTCAAGCACAAAAATTACTTCAACAGCACCAAAGTCCAAACAGCATCAAAATACAGCATAAAAAATGAATAAATAAATGAATAAATTCCAAGAATCAAAAGCAACACTAAACACAGGAGCAAAGACATACAGCACATCTCAAGTTTACACAACACTCACCTACACAGACAATGACGACAGATGAGATAAAAGTTAAACTTTTTTGGCAAAAAACCTACAAATTTATGCAATAACAAAAAAACCAAAACAACAAAACC